GTGCAGGTGTTCGAGTGCAGGTGTGCGAGCAGGTGTGCGGGTGCAGGAGTGCGAGCAGGTGTGCGAGTGCAGGTGTGCGAGCCATGTGCAAGGTGTGCGAGGTGTGCAAATGCAGATGTGTGTTAGCCATGTGCCCAGCACAGGTGTGTGTGAGCCATGTGCCCAGCACAGGTATGCCCCACACAGGTACGCCGGTGCAGGTTTGTGCGTGCGCAAAATGTGTGCATGCAGGTGTTGTGAGTACAGGCATATGTGACCAGGTATCGTGTGTACAGGCATGGCCAGCACAGGTGTGCCACATACAGGTGTGTGCATGCAGGCGTGTGAGCAGGTGTGTGTGTGCAGGTGTGCCCAGCACAGGTATGCCATTGCAGGCGTGTGCGAGCAGGTGGGTGCATACAGGTGTGCTGGTGCAGGTGTGTGTATGCAGCTGTCCCCAGCACAGGTATGCTGATGCAGGTGTGTGTGTGCAGGTGTGCCCAGCACAAGTGTGCTGGTGCAGGTATGTGCGTGCAGGTGTGTCGGCCAGAGCCGGAGCACCGTCCTTGGGCATGTGCCGTGAAGGCCCTGCAGGACGGCCACAGCATGTCTCCCAGACCCTGCTGCGCTGTGGAAAGCCTGGCGCCCGCAGCATGTCCTGGCCTGCCCACCTGCCCAGTCCGCCCTCAAGCGCCCCCGCCCGGGGTCCCCAGAGCCCCACCACCCCGTGCCTGGGCACCCTGCTGCCTGCGGCTGGGGTCAGCCCGTACAGCCGCGGGTGTGCCTGAGCCTCCTGCCGGGCCCACCGGGGACACTCCCCCTGGGCGGCCAGCAGCCCCCCAGGTGAGCCCGCGGCGGCCGGCAGCCCCCCAGGTGAGCCCGCGGCGCCCACCTCTTCTGGTAGGCATCGCAGGGCTGGCCCATCTGCCGCATCTCCCGGATCAGGCCGTCGGTGATCTCCATCTGCTCGTTGGCCTGGGCGAAGCAGTCGTCCAGCTCCCGGCTGCGGGCCGGCTGGATGCCGTCCCCATACTTCAGCTCCTGTGGACAGTGCGCGTGAGGGTCGAGCTGACCGCGAGGCCGGTGCCCGCAGGCCGCGTGCAGGCAGCCGACGCCTCCCCCAGGCTCCCACGGAGCCCCGGGAACAGCGCCCGAGACCCAGCACGGGAGGTCCGGCCGTTCTGTCCGGCCCGGGGTGGGCACATCAGAGCTCTGGGAGGTGGCCCTCGTGGGGGCGAGAGCTTGCGCCCTGGGGCGCTCAACCCCGCTGGGGCGCTAGCAGCGCTCGGCACTGAGAGACGCCTGCGTGTCGCGGCCGGGGGCCCCCGAGGGCAGCTATGCCGGCCAGCCGGTCCTCCCGGACCTGGCTCAGCTGCAGAGAACGGGCGCTGTGGACGCCAGGCGGGACAGGGCCGGCATGAGCCTGGGTGACACTGCTGGTCAGCAGAGGACGGGTCAGGGGGCCACAGGCCGGGCGCCCCAGGCTCGGGCCCTGTGAGGGTCTAGCAAAAACGGGCCGGGCACCCCAGGCCCAGCTGCCACCCAGCGCCCAGAGCACCGACCCCGCGGTGGGGTTTTTCCGACAGAGGTGGGTGCCCTGACCGGCGGCCACAGGGGCCCAGACAAGGCAGCGGCATTTCTGGGAGACGGGGGGCTCCCAGCATCACACAGGAAACGGGGTGCCGCTGCCTCACGGGGGCCCAGCGGAAGCCTTGCTGGGAAGTGCTGTCCGCGGTGACGCCAGGCCGCCCCGAGCCTCCGAGGGGAGGTGGCAGGCACCGGAGTCGGGGCGCAGCCCGCACCCCAGGGGGGCACTCACCGGCTGCACGATCAGCTCAGCCCGCATCAGGCAGTCGGCACAGTTCTGCAGCAGCTCCTGGATCGTGTTCTGGTTCTGGTGCCGGCACATGGTGCCCGTTTGGCTGGGGAGGGCGAGCAGACGGCGGCGTGTTGACCAGCAAGACCCGGGACCACGG